AAGTTCGATGAAGCGGATGGAAAAGTGCTGAGAACCTGGATGTAAGGAAGACTACAAAATATTGAAACAACTTGATTAGCAGTATCAATAGTTAGCATGAATGTGTTGGTACGTAGATGATTAAATAATACATCTCAAACAGATTCGTACCCCTCCAAACCCTAAACAAACATCGGATTTCATGGACGAAAACCACCTAAAATCAGAAGTTACACCTTCCCACCACCTCTGCGTAGAAGCGTAATGCACGGCGCACACTCGGACCAAATCGATCGATGATAACCAAATTATGCTTTGACTCAGTTCAACGGGAATATGTGTTTTGAAGGCATATTGAAGTTCGCGAATGAAAATCCTTACAATGGCACTGAGGAGATCGAGCTTTTGAGTGCTCAGAATGTGGCCCAAGGGTGACTCAGCTAAAATGTCTTCTAAACCAGAGGGTCTTCAGGAAAACTGTAGAGCGAGGAAATATTCGGCGCCCTGTTTTTAGTTTTGCAAAATGTTGCGTTCAAAAGAAGTTGTTCTTTTTAGCAGCATAAAAACCCGCTCGCGATTTACCACTAACGCGTCCGTAACCCATCCGAAATATTTCACGAACGGGGGAAGATTCAGATTGCGAGTAGGTAGAAAACGCAACAGTAGAGACATTGCTTCAACATGCCGCCTTCCGTTTCTCAAAAGCCCCACACCTAAAAAAGCTATCACCCCCAGGAAAAGCTCCGCGATTTCCACCCGGCCAACAGATCTGCTCCACCGCTAATTTGCCGTGGAATCCTGTCGCGGCCGCGGCAAACGAATAGAGCCGGAAAGAGAGGAGATTGTACCAGGATCCTTTTGCGGGGGCAGGGTATTGACACCGCCATTTCACAGATCACGATGCTGTACCCTGACTGTAACCTTGGCATGATCTAACATCTCATACCTTATTACGAAGCTTCTGGACTAATTTATATGGTTGAGAAACCTAAAAGGAAAAGATACCAATCCACCGCAGTCTTTCAAGACGAGGTATATGCTTGTATAGTCGCCTTCGGTACAAATCTAACAATCGAATTTGCTACACGATGCCGGTAATAAGGTTATGGACCTCTTCCTTGTCTTCACTATATGCGTTTGTAGGTAATTTAGCGCGCCAGTAAAGCCTTTGCAAGAGATAGAATGCACCTGGACGTTTTTCCATTAGTTGGCCTTAGCAACAAGGACGCCTTGCTGTGACATACTTGTTTTGCACTCCGAGGACGTGCAGCTCAGAAAGCTAACTGTTATCTCTGCCATGATTCACAATCAATGTTACACGATAACAAGGTGACGACTGTTTTCCAGCTGTTTCCTATCAATCAATTTGCTGTTCCTTCATGTTTCTTTTGAAGGTTTGGTCTCAATCATGGGTCACCAACGACTGAAAATTAAGCGACTACTTTGTTTGTCCGGGGCGTTTTTTCTCGCTTCTCTGCTTGCAATTTATCTCTTATATTCCCCATCATCAAAAGTGAGTTCAATGTTTGTTTCCAATATATAGTTTTCAAAACGGTACGAGTAGAAGTCTTTAAAGACATCACAAGAATGCTGAGTTGTGGGCAAAAAGTCGTGCCCCAGGCGGGAGTCGAACCCGCACCGGGGCACGACTTTTGCCCACAACTCCTTTCTAAGCTGAGAGGGTAAAAGCGGCCCTGGTGGCGTAACGGATAGCGCACTCGCCCGGAAAGCGTGAGGTGCGGGTTCGACTCCCGCCTGGGGCACGACTTTTGCCCACAACTCAGCATTCTTGTGATAACATTCGGAACGCGTACTGCGGCGTTAAACAGCAGTTATCATAGTTATCATAACAAAACATCTTTAGAGGCAGTTCCCGCGATCAAGTATAATTAGCAGTTGCTGCTCAGTAATGAACCAGTAGCTGATAAGTGATTTTCCAAAGGGGAAATAAAAAAGGCAAAAAAAATCTCCAAGAACACTTACACGAAATCGCTCACTGAAGGTCACACCGCCCAGCGGTCTCCGGGCAACCTCTGGCTCACGAATCGCTCTCTCGCATGCCCCATAACGAAATATCATCTAATGCAAAGAAGAGCAACGAAAAACAGCAAGAACACTGAACCTAACAGAGAGAAAATGCTCGAAAACTCTGCGTGCGAACTTAGGTTTGCGGTAGCAACGCAAGTCTAGCTTTTGCACCAAAAAAATGCACCACTAGCGACTTGAACAATCCTCACCTTGCGAGAGGAATTGCTGTTCACTCTGGGTGCTCCTAGTGAAGAAAATGTAATAAAGAATAGCAGAATTACTTATGAGCACGAGCGCGGTCGGACATTGCATTTTGGATTTATGCCCGCCGCTCCAGCAAACAACAACTGAGCGTCACTGCGTTAGGTGTGGAGAGGATGTTCGTTGGATGAGCGGTCTGACTGAGCGGGTGTAAGAACTAAATTTCGGCGGCTGTAGCACCCTCTTCACTCGCTGTGGAGTCATGAAAGGAGGCAGATTCTTGGCTTAGAGCTGGACCACTCACAAGGAAGGACGACCACGAATTACTTGGGCGCGGGGATCGTCTTTACGGGGAATCTAAGAAAGCGAATGTATGTAGAGAAATTTCTTTGGTGTGGTTTTTTAGCAAGGACACTTAGCATAATCGGCAGATTCTAGGCTAATACTTCGGTTTCTTGACATCAGTTTGCAGGGTGGAAAGTTGGTTGCTGATGAAGTAGAATTCAGGTCATATCCGTTTCCGTGCCTGACTTATCGGAATCGCAGTGT